GGGAGGTCATGTAAGGTAGAAGTTTACGGTAAATTTGAGCAATTTTTTTTCCTAAATTTTTCGCATGAATGCTGCCTTTTTTTCAAAAAAAGGAAATCGCCAGAAGAGGGGCAGGAAAAGAGAGGAGGAATCGTACTTGAATGAACATTCTGGAAAACTCGTACCGGCGTTGACTTCAACAATAATGACTTTGTACGGTAGCAGTTTTCCAACAGTTCCACGTGTAGGGAACCGTTACCGTCAAAAAGTCGTTATAGCTACAGTCTTTATGGTGGTCGTCGTTCAGTGGGTGGCCGTTGACAGACGACGTGGCCTTTCATACCTATGCCCATGGTTATTTATTTTTATGGAATCGTCGCTCTTTCCCATATATCACCGAACATTGCTGGGGAACTCGCTTGGGCATTGTCCCGAATCCATTGCGTCTAGGGAATTTTCATCGCTTCAAAAGTAAGTGTGGCTTTCTCATACGGTCTTTGATGGTAATTCGTTTCCAGGGAGTTTTTCCATCTCACCTGATCCCCCTCCAAGGAAAAAAACAAGAAGGAACTCTTACTAACTGACTGTCTATTGATTCCGTACAAATGACAAGAACTACGAGAGTGGGCACCCATATGTGTAACATTTGGGCTATGAATGGGCCCCATATTGATCGGAAGCCAATTATAAACCCTTTACATTCGTAGTCAGTCGTCATTGTCAAGCACCCAATTCGTTCATATGGAGACAGCCCCATATCTCGAGCGTTTGACTACGCTAACGACCCTCACTTACACTTGGCACTACTCCACTCACTTCTGCTATGAATTGTCAATTGCCGTTTGTGAATCAGCACGATGTTATAATGCTCATGTGAATCCGTAAACTACAGTAGTACCAAGGATACTGTACACTACCGTAGTACTCCATACAGCATGTGCTTATTTCATTATGCTAAGAACGTACCTATTTTCGTGCCAAACGATTATCGATCGAATTGCTGTTGTTGATTCTTATCTCTGATGCCCAAGATAACCCATCAGTCGAGACTGTAACCTTCACCACAAGGCGGAATCGATGTCGTACCGCCTATAAAGGGGGTCGAGATAAGGATGAGCTAATCGGGATCCTCTAGCTCTTAAAACCAACTCAGATCTCTGAATACTTTTGTTTAACTCAACTCGTGGCCTTCTTGATGAGAGGCTTGATTGGGCTATTTTGACGTTCTCCTCGACATTCGTTAGAGTTTAAAATAGGAAAAGGATAAATGAGATTCGCCAGCCCCCATAAGGAATCAAGTTGAATTTTGGAGAGGTGAGCGCTAAAATTTCGGTCTTTCGGAGCCTTTCAATTCCAGAAAGGCTCCCAGGAATTGAGTTGAATTGAGCAATTTTCGTTATACCCAGGTTGAAGAAATGTCGAATACGAATAATTTCACAGAACTGGCTACATACTGCAGTCTTCTCGTATATAAACCTCATCCGTACTTTGGGCTCTGTACCTTCACCGGAAGCGTTTTCTTCATGCATGCAAATGCTTTGGAACTGCTAGGTTACAGCCTATTTTTATTCAGGGCTATAATATTATAAAGATAAATCATAAATTTTGAGAAATCACAGCAGCGTGTTATGTTGCTCACTGTATAAAAATGCCAAATTAGTTATTACTTTTGGAACGAAATTACTGAATCAGACTACTAAAATTACCGACCCAAATTACTTATAATTTGACTTGGAATTTTTGTTTTCAAAGCTGATTGGATTACGTAAATTTAACTGGTAAATTATATTTATTTGTGCTGGATTATCACCACAACGATTGCACCGTCTGACTGCGTGACCTTATATGCACTCTTTGGAAACCGTGCTCTTACACAAAGCCCATCCTAAGATCCACCATAAGCTTTTAAAGGATCAAGAGAGTAAACGACCAGCGATATTATGCTGTATATCATCGAAAGCTCCTCTATTCGAAGTCCTCTTCCACTTTTTATGCAACTGATGATGTACTCCCTTTATAAATAGACCATAGTTGGCAAACTTCCTACTTCTCACAGAAATCAAGAAGATGGCTAATCAAAGTGAACCGTTCCTCCAAGAAGTATCTCGTGCCTGACCGCCAGAGCGACTAGAGTGACAGAAATCGAGTAGGGGAACTAAAAGACTTTAACACTCACACTAGTTGCGAAGGTTTCCTTCAGAGCACATGCCAAGATTGGGAAAAAGGTCTCTATCATCTCGAATTGTGTTAACCAGCACCTTCTGCGTCACCATCCAATCCAAGGTTATAAGACTATCCATGCGTTACCAAATTCTTTAAAAAAACATAATGGCATTCTCCGAAATGCCGAACAACTTCACATTAAGTGAAAATGACACACGAGGTAAAAACGTGGTTTTGCTTACCAACACCCCTCCAGAAACCGGAACAGAATGACACCTGAAAACTTTCTATTACGAAGAATATTTTTCGGATTTCTTTTTCATCAACATCTTAACCTTCAGTATTTCCGTACTTACCTTCGCCTGTACCTTTACGAAGGGGTGCTACACAAGAATACCGAGCTATGGGCGAGAGATCCTTTGTCCTTGGACGGGATTCGAACTTGTGTCTATACTATTAGACCAACGGGTCACATCTATTTTAGGCACTGTAATTATCCATTACACCGCCTTCATCTCGATACCTACCCCAATTTCTCCAAAGCACATCTACCTTAGTACAGTCCTCACCAATGACGAAATCAGCCGGTTCCTTGAAGATGTAAACATTGATAGCTCTCGCTTGATTTGCTGTGATAAACGAGAGTAAATAGAGTAACAAAGACCAGTTCCTGATCAGTGATAACCAGATCAATGCCTGATCAATGCTAGCCTCGATTTTCGTCGGTATCGTCGTGCGATCGTACTTATGGGTGTTTTTTTTATCCAAACAGCTTTAAGGTAGAAGATGTCGGAACGACGTATTGATGTAAACCGCAGCAACTATTCGGTTATCGATAACGAATTTGGTAATATGCGTGACCGTTTCGAACAGGAAATGCGTCGTGTTGAAGATGAAATGAAACGTCTTCGTTCTGAATTTGAAGGTAAACGTTTTCTTCTTTTCCCTCGGTGTCAGTCTCATGGTGTTGCGAAGATCGCTGTTTTTCACAAACTTCACCACTTAGTCCTATTCAAAGCTTCTTCTTCCTTCCTGGGTTGAATTATTGTGGGCTGCTCCTCTATGACGTCATCCCCTAACCTCCCATGTCGTTCATTTTTATGTGTCCCAAATTATGTGTCCTCTCATTTGTAATGGAATGTTCAGCTGACTATGAGGTGCGAGGTGGAAAAATCGATTTCCCTACGGCTCTCTCCATAAAAACATCTAAAAGGAACGGCAGCAGCTGCTGCTGCAGACTCAAAATTCCACGTTCTATGTGCTTCTGAGATTTCTTCGAACTCAACTTTTAGTATCGCCATTCTGAATATCGATTGAAAATGAATTTGTAAACAAAATAGTAAATAACAAAAATATCCATGCGAAAATAGCAATTTGAGTTCATAAAAATGACCTCCTGTGATTGAATTAAGGCTTTTGTGAGACTCTTAGAGGCAATTACGAATCGATATCGATCGCTCAGATAGATATCGATTATCGATGCATTGTGGCCGTTCGATTCACCAATTTCATTAGACCAAGGGAGAATTCAAGTCCCCAGAGGGCAGAAAGAAAAGAGCTGAAAAATCTCCTGCTAAATTGAGCTTTTCATCTACTTCCGCAAATTTCTCCGGCCTCCGCTCGGTTTTTAACCCTCTCCAATTGCCTTTAGGATGAACAGGTCGCTGTTTTGAAAAATATGTGAATAAATAAATATGTAAACATTCTTCATGGCAGTAAACTATCTACATCTATCTACCTCCTTTCGTTACTGTCTAAAATTCAATTACCTTTTTCAGGCTATAGACCAGGAGCACATCCTCCATCAGCTATATCTAGCAAGCCTTTCGACTCATCTCTGTCACCTCCACTTCGCCATCAAGAAGGTTTCGGAGCTCCTCCTTCTTCATTTGGTTCGTTTCACAGAATCTCTTCTCAGAGTTCTTTACATCTCGAGCACTGCTGTCTTCCTGCGTTCAGAATAGGCGGACTATCCATCCGTAAAATTCGCTTTGTCCCTTGATGTGCTCTTAGTAACTCTCCCTTGTTTACATTCTTTGCTGATGACCCATCACACTTAAAAGCTGATGAAATCAGGGCATTGATAGATATTGAATTGAAGTGGTAACAGCTGATAAGGGATCGTTACGAGGAACGGCCATTCGAGCGTCGCTGATTGGGTTACGTCCTTCATGATGACATCAGAGAGCTTGCTCCCTTCAGTGAGTGGGTGAAAGGGGGATATCGATAGAGGGCGGACCAAAAATTATATCTGACTAAAGTTGCGGGACTGTGGGGGACTGGGTATATGTTCCATTTGATTCGTTATACCCTTTCCCCCTCCCCCTCCCTGCCATGGTGCTTTATTACGTTCTCTGTAACGTTTAAGTAAAGAGGGGAGGGCATTACTATCGTTCGAGGTCGTTTCAAAAGTCTTGATTATTCTCAATTAAAGTAACACCAATCAATAACGTAGTCGTTTGGAACCCCGATGACCTTCGCCCATACGTGAGCACCTCTTCAATGACGAGTTTTTCCAAAAATCGAACGACTGCGCATTGAAGAAGTAGTCGACCACGATTGCCCAAGCGGTTTCCCAAGCAGTGCTTACTCAGGGAAGCGGAATAAATTCTGTTGGCCGCAAATTTAGAGGTTAAGGCTGAAAGCTGCACAGGGGACCACTTCCGATTCTGACTGCAGTAACCTTCGCTGGCGGCTTCCCGAAGCTTCGTTCGTAGACATTCTTGCCATATGTAAATGGCAGATGTTTGCGCAGCTCTCGGGCACTTTTCTCGAATTTCTCCTGCCGTTTCTCCGGGTTGCTATTTGCTGTGGAGCGCAGAAGTTGTTAATCACCGTGATGCGGGCTCGTCTAAAGATCACTTCCATTAGAGAACTCCAGAGAATTATTGTGTACACAGCTTTTGGAACAATCTGATATCAAGTGATAACAGATGATAACGAGTGAGAAACCTAAATCAGGTCATGAATGTCCTAAATAATTAGAATGGTCCGGTTCGCTACCGAATGAATCAAACTTGGCCGACTGGTTTCTGAAATTCATTGAAACGGCTCTACGGCTGAGCTATTTCTGCATGCTCTGATCGAATATCCTACCGATTGCTAATCAATCAATAGAGCATGCTATAGAAATTGCTCAATTACTCGAAAATGGGCATGTTCCAGGCCGTTCTGATTTGATGTCACGTCCTATGTACGATCCTTATTTGGACAATCTCAAGAGCCCTCTTATCAAAGACGAAAGCGATGGCAAAACTCTGCGACTCAGGTGAATTCAATAATTTTTTTATCGATTCTTCTGTTAAGAAATTTAAGAGAAATTCAAATTATTACAGGTTCGATGTGGCTCAATACAAGCCAGAAGAGGTGACCGTCAAAACTATCGACAATCGTCTTCTTGTACATGCGAAACATGAAGAGAAAACACCACAACGCACTACTTTTAGAGAGTACAATCAGGTAAAATCTCAATGTTACTTAGTTTCGCTTATTCCTCACCCCTAAAATTGAGAGGTGAGCGCGACAATCGTTCTTAGGCCCTCAAAAATCATTTTCCACCAAAGAATACCCTCGTTTCCCACATATGTGCGACCTACCACTTGTTCATCATTGAATGAACAGCTACTGAATAGAATTAATCCACATTTCGTAACCAGTGAGATTTCCTACAGGTACACTGCTGTGTACTGGCACTAGTTCCTTACTGCCCTTGAGTACCAGGTCAACCAATAGTTCCATTTTCAATTCTTGAGCTCTTTCATAACATTATGTACTTCCGAACAAATTGACTTTCAAAATATTAATATTTGTTGTAATATATTCGTTATGTCATATGTATCAGATCGATACCTGTACGATGCTGTTCGTTTATTATTTGTTTATTTATCCTTATTCATTTATTTACGTAACGTATACGCTTGATTCCGTGCTAAACCCGAAACTTGATCATATTATCAGTCGACCACCGTATTATGATACCTATCACTTCATCTGTTTACTACTATTACTAACTATGACCTCTGATACTACCTTTTAGAAGAAGTTAACAAAGAGCATCAGAGGTGGTAGTTACTGGCTGCTTTCACAGTCCGCGATTTGGTCGGGCGGCTAGTCGCGCGACCTGTCGCGACCTATCGAGCGAGCGACCGATCACTCGGCGGCGCCCATGGCTAGCGCCACCTCGTCGCTTGGTCGTCCACCAAATCGTGGGCTATGAAAGCAGCCACTCAGACTATTGACTATTTGGCCATCTGAAATAATGGGCTTATCATTACCTGAACAATGTAGGTTTCTTGATTGAATCTAGTGATACGATTCGAACTTTGATCCACAACCATGTGTTCTTCGGGTGACTCTTTCTGCCAGCTCCTTGATTTGAATGAAAATATACCAGTCTGAGGTCTCTTCTTTCTTAACCCTCTCTCTCCTGAAAAAGTATTCGGAAAGATTTCGAATGAAAATCATACTTTTGGGTTTTTTACACATATTTTTGATTCTTTACTTTGTATCTCCATTTCCGTCATCTAAATGATTTCAAATGGAATTTTTTAGGAGTTTCTACTTCCTCGTGGAACAAATCCTGAGCACATTTCGTCGACACTTTCAACTGATGGTGTTCTAACCGTTGAGGCACCGCTACCACATTTGGCGATTCAACAGTAAGCACATGAACACACTTAAATCTAAAGGATCATCTAGGAACATATACAATGATGACTACATTGCACGATGGAGCTACAATGTGCTTGGATTCTTTTTTTTTNTTTTTTTTTCTTATAAAGCCCACTTTCATGCTTATCATCATGTCTACATTGATGTTTGCTTCAATTTGAATGAGAACTTCAAATAAAACCCCCTTTTCACATCCCCGACCAGCCCAACCCCCCACCCCCCTACCTCAATCGTAGTGCATCGTTAACGCTTCTCGAGTCTCTAGAACCATACCCATTCATTTCTCTTAGCTCCCTCCCTTGGAATTTTCCATAATCATCTGTGTGCGTGTGTCAAATTGAAGTTCTTTTGTTATTGCAATCTAATGGGCTGATACACACAGTGTTAAATTTTTTAAACTAATTTTGTTAAACGAATTATTGCTAGACGAATAAACCCATACGATCAAAACATATGCATATATTTTAGTATTCGATATTTTAGAATACTTGTTGAGATAAACATTGGGAGCATTGCACACTGATTTGTAATTGAATGTCCTTTTTTTCCCTACAAAAAAGATTAATTCTATTCCAGCTCAATTTCAATTCTACTCGAATGATACATGTTCAAAACCTTCCAGGTGGATCTGTTTGAGGTGGAGCTTGGTGGTTGCATTGTGCGGTTCAAGATCTGTCAGTAGGGACCATTGAGAGGCAGTGTACGGTAGCCCGCACGAGTGGNGGGGGGGGGGGGGGGGGGGGGGGTTACAAGACTCCGTATTGCATAAACACAAAAAACAGTTTTTCAAAGAACTCAAAAAACTCAAAAAAATGTATTCGTGTGTAGAATTAAAATTGAGAACAGTCTTATTCGTTTCAATAATCAAAATGCCTGTAGAGCTTGAAATCATACCGGAAGCCAGATGGCAATCAAACCACTCACATTCCAGAGGTTTTCTTGGCGTAAATCGCTTTGTAAAATGGGTAGTCGCAGAGAGCGGTCACGACGCTTGCAGACGTCAGCGCATTATGTTCGCTGAAATGTTAGAATGTTTTAAGTGGAATAGAGGGGATTTCTTCTCAAAGAATCAGCGGAAGACATTGAAAGGGACTTCGAAGTTGAAAATTTCGGATAAAAAACATCAACCTTCTTTACGAACAAAAAAATTATGACGAGTTCGTCTGCTGAGTTTTTTCTCAAAACTTTCCAATGCAAACGAAATTTTCAACCGACACAAAAAGAAGGAAAGATAAAGGTTCACGGAAAACTCTTTACGTGTCCTTGCTTAAAAAATCTTCGCACTAGGTAAATTTTTTGGGATAAGGCGATACGTTCAGTAAAAACCGGAGTGGCCTTGCGCGGGGAGGACAGAAGAGGGCGAATGAAAGTGATGGCTATGTAAAAACGAGTCGACAAAGATCCTGCACAGGGGGCAAAGGAGGGGTTGTTACTATAGAAAAATCCAAAAAATAGAAAAGTCCTTAGGTGGCCTCCAACACCTCACGTAACCTCCGTCAATAGCAGCGAGTGGAAGCCAGTAAATAAGAATCATGAGAAACAGTACAACGCGGGAATGGGGATGTTAGTAACGGTCTGAATGCGACTAGACCGTGAGAAAAACGAGGAAGCCAGGACGGTCATACAAACAGCCTCTGACCAGCATCTGTAGGCACATACCAAGAAGAGAGCGCTCGTTGAGGGAAGCAAAGAAATTCAAAGCCCTAGGTAAGCGACTACAAAGAGCACCAAAAAGAGGGTTTCTAATGTTTTTTAAATGAAGACAAGCATACATATTTACATTGTTCCTCTGTAAGGATCACAACATTTCAGTACCCAGCTCTTACAATTAGTTCCTACCCTGGAAATGTTTCTAAAAATTAGCCGTCACGATCAGGCTGAAGCTCCCCGAATGTATAATCCATTAGTTATTTCAGGCACCGGCTTTTTCTAGACTAATCCAAACTTTTCGAATCTGACCGAAATCCTAGCGCTAAGCATGGGGCTTTCGGATGCGCCATGACCTGCGAACAAAAAAAAATCTGCTTGAAAATCTGAACGGTTGCTGCGTTCCGTGAACCTCAGTTGTCACTGCCTACGTCATAACATCGAATAGCTTAACAGCTGACTGGCTCGATATTTTTGCGAATGCAATGTTGCATCAAACAGCTGGTTTACTGCCCCCTCGGATAGCGTGAATATCAACAAACTCTTTCATTTTCACCAGGCCCTTTTAAAGGATGCCAAACACTTCAGCATACAGATAATAAAATAGTAATACGGTGTAAGAAATGATAATTTAACGGTCAAAATAAAGAGTGCAAGTAAATAAACATGGAACAAATAGATATCAATTGAAGAGAATATGAGAAAAAGTAGAACTGCCATTATGTAGATGACTCACCCCTATGCAGGAGAAGCCGCCTCAGTCAATGGACCTGCTTAAAGCAGAGCACAGTGCAATGGGACATATCTGCAACGACTATAATTAGCTCCATTGAAATCACGAACTAGAAGTGAATATCACACGATAACTAGAAGGAGATTGAAAGTTTCAAAAAGGTCATTCCACTCATTAACCACACTGCTATCCTCTTCCCACTTTGCCATAATAGCAGATACAACTTCTGGAGAGCGCCAGGAATGGTACGCATAACAGATATGGTGACTATGGCGCTACCTCTGCACCAGAACTGACCATTTCAGTCTAAGGCAGATTACCAAAAATCGACTACCTCAGAAAAGGTAGGTGAGGAACGTAAGGCCGTTTTTCCTGCTCATTTGATTCCGGGATCATCACACTTCAATTTCTTACCACCCCAACACGTGCCTAAGCTATCGAGGAATGTTTCTTTCGCCAGCGCTATAGATCATACATTCTCGCAAAATATCTAACACACTACTATGTTGAAGAATGTCCTGTAGGACTTTTGTGTCCCGACTGGAATTAATAATAATCACGAACAAGCGTTGCAACACCAGTCAGAGAAACCATGCACGATCACTAGTTACGACATGCGAAAAGAGGCCACTACCGTCAGTTCTTACCAGTCACTTATTCGTAGTATGCATTCCACTGTGATGAAACTTTTGTGATCAACAAAAAATTCCACCATCTATCACCATGAAATACGGGCGATAACTTTTTCAACTGCAATAAACCCTGTAAAAGCTGTTCCAAAAAAATCATATCGATTTTGATTGGTTGTGAAAAGGGATCTGAAAGTACTCACAAATAGAATCACTACTAAGATAAGAGATAGTAGGACTCCATAAAAATGCAGACATGAAGAAAGAGTGGGAATCAATATTTATTGAGTCTCAGCGAAGCAAAACATAGTCTTTACATTCAGAGCAAATGGAACAAGAACAACTACAAACGCTTTAAGATAATCCTTCATAAAAGAGTCATAATGAGATCCATAATCTAAGGAAGGATATGAGACCTCAGAAATATCTTTTGAGATACTACCGCACATTAGATCTGTAGCAATTGATATTTTACTGAATTTCTACACTAATAACTGTTAACTAAATAGCTATGAATCTGCGAAAAATTTCCTCCAAATTAAACCTTAAGGGCGAACCCAGGCTTCATAAATATGGGCTCTCTTTGAGTCACATCAGGCGTCGGCACTTTTTGAAGCAACCTGAACGCCCCAGTTCCTAGCGATATCGGAACGCCAAGAATGATACATTCGGAAACGCCACGAATCTGTAGAAAAACGTTTTTTTTTGAAATAACTGGGTATCGTTCTATTGATAGCTAACTCACTGAATCTTTCTGCGAATAAAATGCTGCCTCATACAAGTGGTCCATCGTCTTCTCGAATGATGCCAGCAACAGCACAGAATCCTTCATTTTTGCCAACCCATTTCGAGTGATGCCAAGCACCTCACCGCTGAAGGAAGAGAAAAAAGTGGAAAATGCAAAATAAAGTGAATGAAGGCAATGCCAAAGAATAGATAGACAAACAAATAAATAGCGAACAGATATGAAATTTTCGGAATTTCGAGAGGAAAGGGAACATACCGGTAGGTCATCACATCAGCCAACAACATTACATGTCTTCTATCCAATCCGATACCATGAGCCTCCATGGTGCTGAGGATTTCGTTTATTATACATGTCCTTGCCGCTTCGATTCCCAGTACCTAGGAACAATGTAAGTGAAATATCGTTCAATGAAACCCTGTCAAATAAGATCATAATCATCGGGCGGGCATTCCCAACAAGCGCATGGAGTGGCTTCGGTATGGTAGTGATGTAGAGAAAATAAGTAATCTATGAAGCCATTATTTACCGACCCAAAAAACGAACGTCTACCAAATAGTGGGTGGAGTTATTGATGATGGGCGGAGATTCCGAAATAAGCACTCTGACTCTAATGGTGAGCCTTCCTCACCCACGCAGTTGTCGCCAACAGGCTAACGACACCTACTACGTATATTGATGGAATCGATTTTACAAAACACTGTTATCCATGGCCATTTACTATTATCTTTGCCGCAACCTCACAAAGGAACCACGAAGGACTTTGCAATTTATATTCACTTACAAACTGTAATATATATCTAATATAGCCACATACTTCGGCCACCACAACAGCATTGTTAATGTTCGTATGATGTGGATCTACTCCAATCTGCGACAAAATACCACGGAAGTCGTTGCCTTCAGCGACAATACTGAATTCGTCGCCATGTCGCTCATCCGCCTGCACCACACAACGTTTTATATTCGGTAAACCTAAAAGTAGAAATAGTCAAAACCTGCTTGATACAGGGGTCCATCGCAGGCTAGTAACAATTCTTAGCAAAGTTGGTGACCGTTTCTATCCCTTCAAGCTTTTGAGCAACACACTTTCAGTGGTTTTTTTTTTCTGACATAGGAATAGTTAGCTGTCTTGAGAATAATTTACGATTCTAGTTGTTCCGGACTTCGAAAATTACCAAATTGATGGGTTCAGGCAGAAGCTGTTGAAAATCAACAGCTGCACTCCAATGGTTGCTTTCAGACTTCAACGACCGACCCATTGCGGCGGCGCTGGCCATGTGTCGACAACGCAGGAGACTAAGAGATTACGCGCCCTAACGAGTCACGGGGCCTTCAACGCAATCTGACCAGCGTTGTCAACAAGTGACCAGCGCCGCCGCAATCGGACCGTCGATCGGTCGTTGAAGTCTGAAAGTAGCCTCACCTTTGACGATGACCTTCTGCAACGATTGCTTCATGATTTGCATTGTGATCGACATGCTGCATTTGATATCTGTCGGTGGCCGAATTACCATCATTGATTTGCCGACAACAACTATCTAAACGTCAACCTTCTCATCAGTGATTTTACACTTCTTTTTAGAACTGAAAGGAGTTATCTAGATATAGCACATTATAGTTACTGGGATCTAGTTTGCTGCAGCCATACCACCATTAGTGAAATGTCAAGCTGCGATTCAGTAGCTTCTACGGAGCTCGACAACCCACCAATGACATGTATGCTAGGTCCACCTCTCAGCAGCAATGTGCCAGCTCTAACTACAACCATTAATGGGATATTTCTCGAAGTATAAATTCACCTGCGATGTCTTGAATGCGAGAAAACTTTTTGAAGAAACGATGCTCTGCACAATGCTAGACGTGGTTACCTAGACTATATAATTACAAGCAGAAAATTGAACATGGACAATGATGCGATTACTTACCTCCAGATTGAGTAATTTGATACGCTTCGCACTCAGTTTCAGGAGTAGGAATGCTGTATCAGGTTTAATAATCTCTTCGATGTAATCGCATATCTCTCCTGCAAGAAACTCCTTGATTAAAAAAACACAATCATGAAGAATCAAAATTATCTTACAACAGTTCTCTTCGTAAAAACTACTGTGAAAGGAGGAAGGAAACTACAAGAGATCCAGGTATGCTGCACGCTTGTGCTGTTCGTAAGAATCGGACCTATATGCTCTTAGGACCGGCAACAAGGAAAAACAAAACAATCGCATTCAGTAGAATAGTTTGATTCGCTTCATGCCGAATAAGTTATTAAAACAGACGAAACAAATCAAAGTCTTCAGCAGCTCTAGGAAATATTCCAGGGGTAATCCTACGGACCACTAAGGAATTAGCATTTGGGAATGGGTACTCGATGTTAGGACAACATAAGTAACTTCAGCATCTACCAAGTGTAGTGACGTCGATTCGTGCCTTCACCTTCCTAGCCAACTTTTCATCTCGGTTATTGAAGACTTTGGCGGTGATGATCGGAGTTGATATCTGGTTACAATTCTGTATATATGAGAAGGAGAGAGAAAAAGCACCAGTAATCTTACAGCCTTCACTGCATTAATGATCTCTTTGATACGCGGCACCCCTTGTGTAATGTTCATCGAAGCAACTCCAGCGAAATGGAACGTCTTCAGCGTCATCTGCGTCGAAGGTTCACCTGGAAAATAGTATTGAATGCCCTCTTCTAAAGAGCTGAGTGAGATAAGGGCCGCTTAGCGAAAATGGTCCTTAATGGAATCACACCCTGCTAATCACTGATTTTCGGATGCCGATTGAATATTGTTGCAGTTGTACGACTAGATTGAGTCAACGAAGTGACCTCCTTAGCCCTCGTATGGTTTTACCCAGTCAATTAGCATTTAAAACCCTGTCAGGACGTCGAGTAAAAAAGGATGCATGCGATGACAACTGGGGACGCGGAAATCTACATTTCCTAGCTACTCATTTGGTTTTCATGGTTTTACGTTTCATTTATAGTAAATTACTGAGGCACCATCAAAAACAGCTTCCTAAGCCACCACTGCCTGCAAGTCTCGAGGGTAGGAGTGGAATTTGTATTCCAGGCAGTAGTTACAGTTATGAAGGGAAAAATGATATCAGGGAGGTATGCAAGACGGAAAGGTCAGACTACATGAGGCCGAATAAGTGAGTTAAGTCAAAAATTGATGAGTAACCCACCTATACTGGTCGCTGCAATGGCGCCCACTGCGCTCCCAGGTTCCATGGCAGCCTTTTTCAACTTTCGACAGCATGTTTCGAGGAATGCTATGAATTGAGAGCGAGAGGCGCCGTGAACTTGCACTTGAACCTTCCTAAAAAATAAACTAACGATACATTTACACGTGAATCCCTAAAGACAACATTCACAGCGGTCTACACTTTGAGTATGCAAGCTACCACGAGCTTTGGCTACATCGCCTCGCATCTCTCCAGAATGAGATGAATGCTGGAACCCTAAAGGGGAAAGCGGCCACAGAATTGTGAACGTGCATCGATCTCTCATGTCAACTCGATTAAAGACAATTCAAGAAATGTAAGTGCGTGTATCTCAGCGCAGCAGTTACAATGGACATGTCTAGAGTACGATGACCAGCCTTCCATCCATCCGGGGTCAGTTAATTGGTACCAGTCTCGTCTGGGAGGATAAAAGCACTGACTCGTACATCGGCTGGCCACGTCATTGTATAAGTCACATACGCATTCAATACGCCACCATGATTCTGAATGGAAGTCAAATGTATGGGCGCATACCCTAGACGGGATTGATCAACGCCCTAGGACTTTATCCTTTTATCCTTTACATATCAACAGCTGACTTTCGCCTTCACAAACCACCAACGATGTGTACAAATAAGCAGTTGGAGTATAATAAGATCAGCATAGACGCATCCTACACTAACTTACATAAGGAGCACGCCGAAGCAAAAAAAATTGTTGAAGAAAGATTTTCTGGCCAACAGAATCATGAAAACAAAATAAAATTCCTAACATCTTTTCTACGACTTCTAATACGATTCGCTAAAGACTCCAATCCAAAGTTACGCATTACCTGAATTTTTCCTGGCTACAGCACTGTGCACACATTCCTGTTCGATTTTTGGGAATTCTAGAACATCGATTGAATGAGGCCAATTTCAAATCTCTAACACCATAAAAAATCAGTAGATGACCTAATGACAAACCATCTTTGAACAGTTAATGAAGTTACGAAAAATCATCGAAATAGGAGACATTACAACTTTCTACTGTATCTAGATAAAAAAAAAGCAAAATAAGAAAAGTTGCAAAAACACGAACCCGTTCGGATGGTCGCGACAGAACCTCGAGATTTTGTTAACAGACATAATCTTCTCGATAATCTCTCTCACAAAAGTCTCCAAAGGACATAGGAATCCCGCAGGAGCGTTTTTCAATTCAGCATCAACAAGGGCTCTATAAAGTGCCTGAAATCTTATCTACATTAGAAACATCACCGAAATGGAATTCACAGAGTTCCTATTAAGTTGTACTGAAATATTAAATAACTTCAACCCGCTCAAAAGTGGTCAACTTAATGAGGAAGTGAAGCTGCATTAGCATAAACATGGTTCAGACTCATGAACTGCGCAACTGACCAGGCGGCCGAGCCGCCTGCGCTGCGGAATGCTCCAGTTAAATAATGGAATCACATTTACCTCCATATCATTGCGATTCAGATCCTCATCGTTGTTGAATGGAATCGTATTCCGAATGCACTCCAATTGATGGGTCAAGTCTAGCGCATGACAATCGTTTGTTTCCATCAATGCAGGATCTAAAAAAACTAGATTTTGATCATCAAGCCAATGTGCTTTGGAAATCTATGGTTGCCCGAATTGAGAAGAACTGTGTCTCATTCAGTAAAAGGCAATGGAAATCAAAACTTGTGCATTATATATGAAAGGGATGATTAGATGATCTGAATTACATGGACTTTTAGGCGAAAAAGCTCAGTCCAAAGTAGCCTTTCACATTTTTCTTCATAGCATTGAACTTACTGGACTCATTCATTTGATGGGAAAGCTAAGCAATTGCTTAACTGACGAATTTTTACACAACCAGGCGCGCTCATCCTAATAAAGAGTGCTTGAACCACTGCCATCATTCTGTCAGTACTGCTAGTTCCTATTCAAAGTCAAGTATACCTCTTGCTCTAATATTATAAAACCTTCATAGCGCCATGGCTTATAAAAATAAGAAACCATCTGAACAGTTATTATCGAATGGATCGCGCTCCATTACGGTACCCCACTAACCTTTCGAGCCCATGGAGCTTCGTTTTCAACACTAATCTTGAATCTCTATGAGGATTGGATAGTACGTGATAATAACAATGATGAACGGAAGGGATCAGTTTATCCAATAACCTTTAAGATAATTCGTTCTTCCTCGCCTCCGTACCTACCCTTCACTTATGTCTGTAACAAGAAGGAGAATAACAAATTCACATGAAGAAACACAAAGTGAGACTGAATTTCCAGAAAAGTATCGGTACCGTATTTTGGAAAATGGAAAATACGAAAAAGAAAGTGTCCAGCAAAACTTCCATAACGAACCTAGTCCATCATCTCCAAAAACAAACTCAACAATATCACCACACGAAGAGCGGATAGTACCATCATAGCTTACGCAGAGATCCTCAAAGATTCTGCTCGTTAGCACAATCTCGTACAAATTTTCATGCAAAGAGCGTCACCTCTAAACATTTCACCAGCCGTCTCTGCATGTAACCCGTTTCAGCCGTTTTCACAGCGGTATCCACAAGTCCTTCGCGGCCAGCCATAGAATGAAAGAAAAACTCAGTGGGAGTTAGACCCGAAAAGAAGCTGTTTTCCACAAATCCTTTGGCTTTCGGTGTTTTTTCCGACTTTTCAAAGTGTGGTAGACACCGCTTCTAGAAATGTTCCGATTTTAACTAACATCTGAAAAAAATGAACTTTTAGACTACCCACATCAAATCCATCCGGTGGACGATGTCCGAATATGGCTTGCTGCCCCACACATGCAATCATTTGAGATATATTGATGAATGACCCTTTAGAACCACAAATCGCCATCGTTAAAGGCGAGTTATACCTAAACAACAGAACAGAGAACTGAAGATGTCTTGACTCCCTCTCTGGAACTCTAATTAAATCCTTACATTGATAAGTTTATTATACAAGACTCTCCAGCTTTATCACGAATCGAGGAAAGCTCTCGGAGAATTAATGCTTCAAGGGTCTCTTCTTTGGCACAGCCAGGTTGAGCTTTCAGTTGTCCAGATTTCAGCTGATCAATACAATCGTGACACTTTTTGTAACCTCAAATAACCGTTATGGTTAATGATAATTGGGTGAAAAACATACGAGACAGCAAGATACCTCTCCGCAAAAGCAGTGACTTTTCCTCGAGCAGACGTAATCTGGGTTGAACATCGCCAACTCCAATAGAAAAGCCACGATTCGAAAGAAAAGTAGATGTCATCCGGGACAATCGCCATCTTGAAGGGACAAAGTAAAGCATCGCTTTGTCGGTACTGCTAGATCCTCTCAAAGTCAAGTAAAACTTGAAAAAGGACAAACAGTGCATTGATCGCAGAATCTTCACCGAAATCTCGAAGTAGAACATAAAAAATATTCGTTTTCGAGCCGGATCCTAGCAGTTTTTTATCCAGAACCCCACTCATCAGTTCACCATTACGGATAATAACGAAGGAATCCTACAAGTAATTTCAAAAAAGAGTTCAGAAACAAAATAAAAGAAAACAAGAAACAATGGAAGCAAAGCAATGATTCACCTTGGAACAAAGCTCTTTACTTGAAGTGTAGCTTTTATTTGGCACAGATAGGTTCAAATGAAGGGGTTTATAGAAATCGTCCGCAATTATCAGCCTCATCAACTGAAAGCGTAGCTGACAGATGATGGGAAACTCACATAGATTATCGCAAAGAAAAAAGAACTTACCTGTTTACCAGTCCATAGTATGGTCGGCTTCACAATGGCAGGTGTTGGTAGATGAAGTCGTGTTTGGTTTCTGGTTCTGTGGTCTATGATGGATGTGATTAGACGGCATGCCTGAACAGTATACTGTTGCGGGTCATCTCGAAGATGGACCTTTCATTATGATCGTATTGCTCCAAATAAAGGATATGAGCTTCACGATAAGCTTCTATAACTCCATCTTTTCATATGAAAACGGATACGCAGTTGACAGCCTTGGCGTCCTCACGGAGTACTGGATCGGACGAGAATCAAATCGAAACCAAATAAGTAGAATTTTAATGTTATTAAACGCGCGAGTGAGACTGACTGAGAACGCGCAAACACTGAAATTCGGTCCTCTACGGTCTCCAGATATGCAGAGAAAATATTCCATCGTTGATGGGACTGACAACTTTATATCTGATCGTTTGAGAAGATGTTATGTTCCGTACTTATGAGCCCGTTTGTTTAGCGGATATTTTTTGATACCCTTCAATTTTTACAAATTGGTTGCTCATTCACTACATAGATAGGGAATAGATTCAAAAGCGGGTCTGGATAACGGAGCTTGAATATCAGTACTTAAACTTACCTCATTGTAATCAAAGAATGTGTCTTTGTGTGTCATCAGGAACGCACCAGTGATGAAATCCTGAAACAAATTACAGGTGGTAACAATTACAGCAATTCCGTTTGAAAGTACTCATATGTTGACTGGTGCACTAAAACCTTTCAAGTAGATGGAAGCAACAATCACAATCAGTGTTGGTGAGATGGAAATCAGCGAAAAACTGATGGCATCCAAGAAACAAGCCCCTGACTTAGAATCAGTTCCGTTTGCCTTAAAGGTTCCCTGATGACCTACCAGCTTGCAATGTTATTGTGAATTTAACTGCGAACTCAAGCAGAGTATAACTGGTCGGTTGTGTTTTCAATCAATGATTCGAAAATCAGCTAACAGAGAGAGGACACAGCTATAGCCTATACCGAACATGCCCCATTTCTGGATTCGTCGCACTACAGGAAGATATTTCTGCCACGGATGAGGTATCATTTTTATGTTTTTTATATCTGCCACTTCTGGAAGTATTATCAATCAATGGGATTCATAAAGTTGGTCAAACCTCGAGTTTAATAACGACTACTAGAAAATGCTAGCTTAAATATCTCTGTCCACTACGGTGTAACACGAAATATCTCACTGAAAATGAAAAGTACGACAAAAGAATAAGCAATATTCGCACCTGAATGGCTGCCACTAACGGTTCGCCAGATCTCGGAGTGACGAGGTTACTTTTCAAACCCATCAGCGTGCTGGCCTCGGCTCGTGCTTCATGCGTCTGCGGCACATGTAAATTCATTTCGTCACCATCAAAATCGGCATTGTAAGGAGTACAAACACATTCGTTAAATCTAAAGATTCACGTACGATAGATCTGACATAACAATTTGTCAGGAATTGAACCACGAGGACGAAAACTTACCTGAATGTTCTTCCGGACATTACTCTTACACGATGGCACATTATGGAAACCTTGTGAAGGGATGGTTGACGGTTGAACAATACGATATCATTGTCGTCAAGATGACGCTCTACTATGTCACCAACCTTTAAGTTTTTGGCACAGCTCTCGCGATTACTGTACCTGAAATCAGTTGCGTACCTAGGTTCGCCTCAGTATCATCAACCAGCTGGTTCATTTGCGATTAGGTAGCTGGTATTCGGCCATTTCAGCCTATGGAACTTCTATGTTTGAATATATAACTTCTTCGATCCTCAGGGTGGCTGTTGGAGATAAAGGCCTCCAGCAGTCGCACTAAGAATCAAATATTAATATATTCACACAGAAATCTTCAGGATTCATCATGCTATAATGATTGGATGCTCCGAGTACTACCGCAGATGCAAACTGGAGCTCAAAGCACCGAACAAACTGGAAGCAAGTGGCCATCCAACTGGTCCTTACGAAAGTTCGGTAAGATAGCAAAACTTCTTTGAGTGAACAAAAAAAGAAAAAACGAGAACCCACCCCGGTCGCGATTTCTTGGGAAAAAGCAAACTTACTTGAGTAGACGTTTGACACCGGATAGACGATCAATAACGTAGTTGGCACCGGGATGAGAATCAGACCCAGAAATCACGAGCTTCTTCAAGCGTTCGATATTGTGCTCATTAACAATCTCGGGAAAAGTCAAGGTAAGCGCCACTTGGAGTGGTACACCAACTTCATCGATCCGTAAATTTGGATCAGGCGATATCACCTTAATGAATTCCTTTTAATACTGCTCACCGTTGCTACATTACTGCTCAGAATCGTTAGTAGTTTTGTTTGCGTGCGCCGCCCTATTCAATTAGTTGCGTTAGCTAGCCGATTGGTGCTTTTATCGTCTCAGACGGGTCTGGTACCAATCAACCGATCCCGGGGAATCGGAAGTCTTGGTAGGTCTGTGCGATACCAATCTGGCACTACACCTTTTCCGCCGTTAGGAGTAGCATAAAAAGCATAAGTAATTGGGCACACTAGCTCTTCTAGTGGTCCCATCGTCCGCGATGAACCTCTAACCTATCCCAATATTATCGCTTACAATGAATGTGCTCTGATAGAAACTTCCCTTCTCGTATTGGAATCTCCCACAAAACAAGGATGCTATCTATTCCGGTTAACGCCTTTTGTAAATGGTGGCGGTTTGTAGTTGGAAAACTTTTATGAGGCAGTGGAAAAACTAACAGTATGAGCATAATGTGCTGTAGCGTGAATACTTACCGTTCTAGCTGAATAATCAACTCGTTTTCCAGACAGATTTCCACGAAAACGACCTTGCTTACCCTTGAGACGCTGATTCAAACCACGGATAGGCTGAAACAAGATCACATCCTTATTTTGAGAAAAATCTGAGAGATGAATTTCAGTTCCTTTAAAACTCTACAGGATTTATGGGACTTAGTGAACTAGAAAAGTACAAATGCTTGGCAATTTGTTCAGCCAGCGAGCATTTCGTTGCTTTGAAAAGTTAGCTAGTGAACTCAAGGTAATGTAGGTCTTAAACCGTAAGATTAGACAAAATACACTGAGAATGATAGTCTAGGGAAATACAAGCATGGGACCCGCTACGCATGAAGACCTACCTTTTTCAGTTTTAGTTCTTGCGGTAGGCCAGGAAGTTCGCCATTGAAATAGAGTGCCACTTGTATCTGCCAAATTTTTCTTACATCACTCTTCGAATCAGCTTCTTTTTTGAGTGAGAAATACCTGAAGATGGTCCCAGGTCTCCATCACTGTTTTTACTGGTGCACCATTTTCCTTGTGCTTCTGAAGCACATCATTGATGAGAATAATTTCAGCAAGTTTCATAGTCAAATCGTCTTCAGTTGAACCGCTTCCCACTTCTGAAGATGTTATAAGCGAAATAACCTCAAAGAGGGAATAGATGGTGATGTACTCGTTACCTGATGGTACTGACGGTCGCACACATGCTGGAGGTACGGGAATTCTCGTCAAAAGGAGATCTTTGGGATGCTTAACTTCTCCAAAACTTAACATCAGGATTGGTATGTCCTAAAATTACATTTTTGTGCATTTCCATATTCGACTGGAAAACCAATCATGATAAGAGGAAATAGAAAAATCCATGGCGCTCACCTCGTTTGCTATGATGTCGAACAGCTTCTGAACCCGTAAAGGATTCAGGAGAGTAAACTTCGAGCGAGAAAGGACTTCAGAGATCGCGGGGTTTGCTCCCACCACAGCAGAGTATTCAGACATCTGGAAAAAGAGAGCTGGAATAACAAATAACTAATTTTATAGATGAAATTCCTATCAAAACTTATAACAACAACCCTAAGAAGGTGACCGAAAATGTCATAAAGAAAAGTTCTTGCAAACTTGGGCACAATTATTTAAAAAAATTATTATAGTCATGCTTACCTTGCATTCAGATATACCGCAACTATAAGCAATTTTCAGAACTGCTCCGGTAGCCTTACGCAAGATTCCTGAAAGCATACTTCATCTGGGATCATCAAGTTTACGGATAAGATTGCTTTAATGGTAGGATCCATGCAGGCGATACTTCAACGACACGCCAATCCACAAAATACCGTAATCATCATCTTTCCCCCTTACCATTAGAGGTTATCTAAGACAGCTGGCTGGGATCAAGTGAACGAATGGCAGGCAGGCTGTACATGTCTCTCATCTAGTTTCGTAAAGGACTTGGAAAATTTATAGCAAGTGAACTATAAACGCCATTATAGAGCTCATACCATTTCTCTGACCACATTGAAGGCAAAGACTCGTCTTCTTGCACGACGCGACGATACTTTTATGAAGAGCTTTTCGCTGTATGTAGTTCAAGGTAGGATTAGCTATTTGTCTGAGGAAATATGATCGCTGAGATTCGCTCAATAGCAGACGAGCACAATTCTGAAAACCAAAATTACAAATAAAAACTCATTATTTAAAAGCCTATGCTACTCTCTCTTTCTCTGTGCCTATTTAGTCGTAAAACATTATTTTCGCCGGAAAGTATGAAAATTACATCACCTTTGAAGGGGATTGTTATTTCTTCAATAGAAACAACAAGAAAAAGAGACAAAAATCTTGCTGAAGTAGCTAAGAGATACCGATCAACTTCTAAATGATCTGTGGAAATTTCCAGAAATTTTTGCTCAGAGGATAAATAAATAATAAATGTGTATGAATTTTTCCTTCCCACTCTGAAGTACCAGCTCAATTTTGAAGCCTAGCCCCGTAAATACCATCCATGGTGTCTATGCTGAAAATGAGTCGATTCCCGTCGTACCCGTGCCAGATAGAATGATAAATGATCTTGACATGATGGTCTGTGGCCGGTTGGCGCGGGCGCTGAACTTAGGTACAGTGAGCTTGCTGTAACGGCCTACATTGACCTACACCTTTCATGTTCGAGATAAAAGAACTGAGCTGAATTTCATTTTTGCCGATAGAAGCAGTGTAAATATTAAATATTCAAGATAGATGTGATGTTGGGCGGTAACTTTCTTCCCCCTATAGAGCAAGAAAGAAATTCAATATCCGTCAAATAACACAAACACACCTTGCATATGCATTGAAGAACTTGTATAGTTGACTTGAAAAATCCGATATGAAACACTGGGAAAGCGAGATCGACGTAACCAAAATGTCCCACGCAATCCGAAAGACTGCTGTCACAAGTCGAGCAAGGGCAATAATTACTCGACGTACCCTGAACAGGAAATCTATATGATAAAGCTTTTCAAAACAAAAAAAAAACGTAGCGCTGTTGTCAAGGTAATGCAGTGCGTTTTTGCCGAAGCGAGAGTCCGGGCGGCGTCGAAAGCAGAGGAAGTATTGAAAGCAAAGAACAGCTTATTTTCGAACAACTCAATACAACTTACACGCGTGATCATATAATAAACGTAAACGTAAACAAACTCTGTTCATATCCTTTACCCGAGGTAAGCTATTTAGTGCCATTAATTCGTCAGCCATTCAATGCTTTGCGCATCGAATTTGTTGTATTGGTTAAACAGTACATAATGACGAAAAGGGCAAGAATAATGCAATTAGATAGGATATAGAACTTCCATGTGGTTGAACACATTATATCACACCGTTACAATCCGGTCAGGTCAGTATTACAAACGTCTATTTCAAGGTAGTTATTGATTGCTATTCCGACCGATCAATAGTTCTTCGCACATACAGGCACCGATAGCGTTTGCAGTGAGAGTGACGCCGATCAAAATGAGTTGCAACAGACGGGTTCGATTTTTTCTTATAATATTGATAACAGCTTGAGAGTTTTTCTTTAACATATTTAAAAAGGAGACAATCAAAAAGATCATCTTTTTAAAAAAACTTACTAACAATATGATAGTAAAAAGGCCTCGATTCAAAGCCAAAACAGTTTGAAGTCAGTACCACTCACCAAGCGCCTATCAAGAGGTCCACACTTGGCCGGGGTGAAGTTTCTTGCTCCCTCTTCGTACAGACGGTTATTCAAAACTCGAACATGAGATGTTTGCCGAATAAATTCACTGCTACCAGCGGAGAATCTCACTCCAACACTGAAGCAATGGTCCTTCCGTTCATAAACTGTGCAATTTTCCACTTCATTTACACTTTACTCCTAGGCTAGCAAAAAAACGTTAAAAGGTTTCAATACACAAAAAGACTTACACTTTTTGTACTGAATCTGACTCCCGAAACTGAATCTTGCTCATAACGTCGCCAGACGAGCTATGGTGAGCAAGAGAAACGTATTCGCTATTGCATCAGATTGTGGCCCGAGTTTCGAAAGTCGGCCGTGACAGCCGACGCCAGCTAACCGTTTGAAATGCCCCCGCGGTTTGCCTTCTTGATCGCTCCAGCTGAAACGGTGACTAAAACTTTGAAAAAGCAACTTCTTCCTAAAAAAAGGGCGGTACTATTCTACTACTACATCCCCAAAAACTCAAAGGTACTATTCCACTATTACAACCCCAAAAACTCAAAATTTTAATTTTCGATGAAACTTCGCCTATAGGGNTACTAACAATATGATAGTAAAAAGGCCTCGATTCAAAGCCAAAACAGTTTGAAGTCAGTACCACTCACCAAGCGCCTATCAAGAGGTCCACACTT